TTGGGATTTGGGATAATATTTGGTGATATTCAGGATTTGGAATGATATTTGGAATTTGGGATAGATTTGGGATTTGGAATTTGGGATTTGGGATTGGGGTTTGTCCAGTTTGGGCTTATGGGATTTCAAGTATAATTGGAAAATCTCATTTGTCCGGGTTTGTCTATGGAAAAATCCCAAATCCCAAACGTTTGTGCGGCATGTATAATCACATATCTAACTTTCGGCCACCACCCAGAGGAAATAATAATTCAAAATAAAACTTGGCCCAATTTTCAAAAAATAGCAATCACCACTCTTTATGTTTTATCAACTATAGCACCTACTAATTCACAAAGCAATTTATGCACTAATTCAAATCTAATTCTCAATCTCTTACTTCAAATCATATCTTTTTCTATGACAACTAACAAACAATATTGAAAAACAAATAACTATACCTATTTCTTATCCCTCCAGAAAGCCATTAATGCAAAAAAACATTACAATCTATACAAACAAATCCAATCTACAGCTAGATATAATAGGCCAAACCATATAATCAATATAGAGATCGATACACTATTACTATTATACAATACTTATATATTATTGTATGACAACAAAATTGCATCTAACAGTTTAAAAACTATGGTTAAAAAATTATTTATAGCCAACAACATACACAACTGGGCTCAACAAAATAGAATTCAAATACATTGACACAACCACCATAATATATTATAGCAACTTACCTTTGAATACTTGCAATTTGAAGACAAACCCAGAATTCGATCAACTAACCTTGCCAAATCCAAAATTAAAAATTTCAAGTGTAAATTAATAATGCAAGAAATTCCAATCATCTAAACTTATATCTACAACACCTAACTTTATACCCTTCACCGACCTGCCCAAGATGTTTAATTTGTTCTAAAGACGATGTACACTGGCTTACTTGTCCAGCCAATCTTACAAACCTATCTCTTGTAATCAACTCCATTTTGGATAACATGTGCACAAAATATAATTTAACCATGTTAAGCTGGCAAGACTATATACAACAATTTTTTCAAACTTATACTACTAATTAACTTTCTTTAGGTTTTATAACAACAAAAACCTTATCACCATTTCTATCTTACACATCAGCTAAACAGTTCGCACCTTAATTCTTTTATACCCTAATTTTCGAAATCAATGATAAATTATAGTTACTCAGTAGAATAGAAATTGCATATAGCAATACCACTATTAATAACAATAATATTCCTTTCGTAATTCCAATACATAATACCATTCCTATTTATAGTAATTTATCTTCACTTTGGGTCTTAGCTTATATTGACTTTAATACTTCTCTGACACTTATTTTAAACTTAGATTCATAATCTAGAGGTTTTTTGACCTACCTAGCTAAGGTTTAGATCTGAAGTAAAGCAGCTTAATCCCCTATTCCCAAAAATTTATATAAACACATTTTAAATTTTTGCATGATAAATAATAAAGAAATCGAGAAAAAGACCTCACTTAAAAAAAATAAAAAATAAAAATTCTAAATATAACAGAATTTACATGTTTGAACTTAAAAAAAAAATAATTTATTAAAGCTTTTAATTATCTATAGTATAAAGTTTTAACTTACATTTTACTGTCTGTTTTTCTTAAATAAAAAGATCTATCAAAGAAAATAAAATTAATATGTTTAAATCCATAATATCTATTTTTTTTTTTTCTCTTGTATCAGGCTCAAAATTTTACCTAAGCTTTTAAAGAAACTTTTGTTAATTGTTTATTTTTTCAATTCATTTTTGTTATCAATAGTGTTGTATATAATTAAAGGTATTTAGTTGTTGCAATATTGATAAGCAGCAATCAGAATTTTAATTATATTTTTTAAATTTTTTAAAGCAAAAAAATGTTTTTCAATAAAGTCTGTAAGCATATAGTTTATAAAGTGCTAGAACGTTGCGAAGGCATTACATAAGCCAAATAGTATTAACAAGAACTCATAGATACTAAAGTAGCTACAATCTCTTTCTAATAATACTATTTATTTAATCTATGATCATGTTCAATTCAATAGTTTTTATCATTTTACCTTTTTTGAATTCATTCTACAATACTATTTATTGTCTTTAAGCAGTTTTAATAAAGTTTTTTCAAGGTAATTTGATTTTATCTAAATAGTAAATGTGGTTATAAGGAAAAGTGTTGCAGAACTTCAGTTTCTTTGAACTAGATGCATTTTTTTAAAAAAAAAGTAAGTATAAAAAAAAAAAAGATTATTATGAATTAGATACAAATAACCTGTAGGTTGATAGCATAGTGGTTATACTTCCAGGTTGCAAATTGGAAGGTTGCTAGTTCAATTCCTCCTAGCAGTGAAATAATAAAAAACCCAAATATAGAAGTGAAACACTGCAGGGTATAGAGAACTCGGAACATCTATGGATAGATATATTCAGAAAATAGTTATTCCAAGAAGTTGTAGCTGTGAAACGAGACATATTAGAACCCCGATTTGAAATAACCAAAATCACAAGATGTAATATAAGATCAAAGTCTAAGAGGATACTACATGAACTTGTAGTAGCACCACATTGGCTCGTAAAATAGCGGCCCAGTATAAGGTGTTTCGATCTCTCCAGAGTGTTATACAGGTGGTTGGATCTAGACCCCAATGAGAGAATTAGAGAATATCAGGCAATAGATACCAGGTAGATATACATAATACCCATATGGGGTTATAGAGGTCCTATAATACTAGTAGTGTAGAGTCAACCATATAATAGCTAGGACCAAGTCATGGCGAAACTTGCCGAAGAAATAAAAAAAAAAAAATTAAATGCAAATAAATAAAATATAGTAAAATTTTTTAAATTCATAATTTGATTAATTAATCAATATATGATACTTACTAAGTATCTACTACTAATATATAAGTAATAGGAACCTGCAAGCCAGGTAAAGAACCTGCATGAACCTGATAAATTTATTTTTTGTTAGTCTGCTTGGCTACAAAATAAAATTAAAAAGCTTGATATGCTTTTTACTACATTTTTAACATATTTGGTCTACAATTTTACAATTATTTTAAAATTGTACTTTTGGCTCAGCCCAACAAATTCAAAACAGAAATTGATATCTCTTTAACTAATAGTAACTAATAGTATAATAACTAGAGAATGTGCATGTGGATAGCTTCACTGGCCGTAATTTTTAAATTTTATTATTCATATAATTATAAAATAGTTTGGTTATATATAATACAATAATTGACTATTTAGGATATAAAAGAGATTAGTTTAATAGAAAAAAAATAAAAATTTTTAAATTATGTTTGTGTTAGTTAAAGCAAAAAATTTTATATTAAAGATAGTAGTAAGTAGTTTTATGTTTTTAAGTTTGAAATATTTTGGATTTGTTGATTTTGGTTAGTAGAGTTTATTGCATTTGTCTGTTTAGTATTAGTGATTTAAGGATTTCAAGTTCTAAACATCTATATTTTCTGATCATGAATTGGTCTGTAATAAAAGCAGTACTATTTAGCAATTGTATTTTTAAATGATTCTAGTTAGCATAGCAGCTTAATGCTACATATGCTTGGCTAGATGCAAATATTTGGTTGTCTAGATTTAGTGATATATCAGAGAGTATAAGTCTTTGTGTTTTGTGAATAGTTAATGCAAATACATTTTGTATTGGAAATTGGGTTCAACTAGCAGATATGCTATTTATAACGAAGTTGCTTATAAATTTAGAAAATAAAGTATTTATAATTGCTTCTTTAATACAAAAACTTATGTAGATGAAGTTTAGTTGAGGATTAAGATCTGTGATTATATCTATAGTACTATTTGCTATTTGGTGTTGATGTTGTGAATTGGTAAAAAACATAACTCATGCACCAGGTTGAATTCTAATAGTTTCTGGTAGGTTGGTTTTGTTTTTTTTTTAAAGCAGTTTTGTCTTTATTTGTTTGAACTACTATTTGACTATTATACATGTATAAATTGTCTTTATAGTGTGTTGCTCTAATCTAAAAAAGACTCACCAAGTATTTACCCAGTGTGACCCACCAAAACAATGATTTATTTTCCTCAGGATTCTTAACTTTCTAAGAATTTCGTACTGATTTAGGTACCCCTTGGTCATTAATTGGCCGTTGTCTGTCATATCAAGTATACTTAAAAAACCATTTTGGCTTCACCAATGAGGACCATGCCGGTTTGGTTCCCCACACGATCCATTCTCTGATTAGACTTTCCCTTTCCTTAACTATATCGAGTTTTTCTTCTTTGTGGCTAACCTTGGTTCTTTTAGTCTCTTTTTTTTTTGTGCCACCTGATGGGTCTCTGTTTTCTTTATCTTGTTCCTCTGCCTCCTCAATTTTCCTTTTTTTAACATTTTCTGTTTTCTTTCTCTTCATTATGCCTTCTTTCTTTTCCCATTGTATGACCTTTTCACATTGAGGATTCCAAATGAGCTTGTGGAAATATTTTGAGAAGCTGTCATTGAAGGTTTGCGGGATTTTGGAGGTCTTTCTCACTTCTTCCTCTAACAAGGAAAAAATCATCTGGACTCTTTGCTTTGTTACTAGGCCTCTTATAAGTTCTTTTTTAGCTGAGATTTTTTCTTCAAGGCTTTTGCCGAACACTATTTCTGCTATTTTTTGCTTGTCACGTATCTTCAAGCTTGCTTTTTCTTTTTCTGCCTTGTTAACGATAGCTGAGCAGCCTTCTTCTTCAAGCTTGTTCCAAGTTAATTGTAGCTCAGTATATTCGGCTAGGTGATCTTGCATCTCGCATTCCCAAAAGCAAATCTTGCAAGTGTTATCTGTGTATAAATCTTTTTTCCTCTGTCTCAGGATTTGCATTGTTGGAAGTAAACTATTAAGACGCTTAATTTTGAAAATCTAATCTTTGTGTGCTTGGGAGCTTATACATTTTTTACCCTTCACTTTGCTTATATCTTTCCAAACCTCTCTCCAGTCTATTTTGTTTTCCTTGTAGGTTGTCTCAGCCCATTTGTTTATACTTTTTAGATCCTTCTATTCAGCGTCAATACTTAGATCAGTAAGCTGTATAATGAAACTTCTCGTTGCATCATCTACTTGGATCTCTTGCCATCTTAGCTCAGTGATCGATTACTTGTTCCAGAGCTATTTTGGATCAAGAAGTAAAGAACTGTTTACTTCTTCCTTTGCAAGTTTGTCAGCCTTTTCATTACCTTGCACTTTGGTATGTGCTTTGATCTTGTTAAACCGCACTTTTAGTTCTTTAAATTCAATTGTTCTTAGTATTTGTTCTAATAGGCAGAGATTTTTCCTTTTTACTATATTGCTTGGCTTGGTCTTATTTTGGCTTGCTTGTATTGCCTAGATCGATGCTGCACTGTTTGTAAAAATGTTCACTATAGTCTTGTTTGGTGCAGTTAGCAAGGCTAACCATATTGCACCTAGTTCAGCTCTAGTTGATGATGGCCAATCTTTTATAGCTCCTTTAAATTCTGCTATATAGTCTTCACTTCTTTTGGCTCTATTTTCTGTAACAGCTACCTATCCAATTCTCATTTTTCCTCTTTCTGGGCTCTCTATTGGATTCAATAAAGACCCATCGGTATAGAAGGATATTTTTTTGTATGGCTTTAGTTGTGTTGTTAGCTGTTTTAGCTCCTCTTTTATTTGCTGTCCTTCAAAAGCTTGATCGATTATTTCTTTTTCTATTGGATGGATAGGAATTTCTTTTATTAGAATCTCGTGCCTCTCTCCATTATCACTTTCGAGCACCTCTAATCTAAAGTATGTGTCTACTAGGCAGCTTGCGGAGACTACTAACTCCTGCACATGTACTTGGGAGTCTACTTTTTGGAACAGGTTTGGGTTTAACACAACTGAGCTGCTTTTTAGCTTTTTCTTGTACAGACATATTTCCAGTATTGTGTTCTTACTCATGTTCTGTTCACAACCCAAACACTTCTCAAATCTAACTGTACTGCTAT